AAAACAGTATCCATAGAAATGTTTATTACAATAAAATGATTTTATTCCTTATTAATAAACATTCATTATTTTTTATCAAATTGATGAAATCAATTATCAATTTTGTTAAACGCATTGAATGGGTTATTAAGTTTATGTTATAGATAGTGTGCATATTTTATGGAATCAAAAGTAAACATTAACTTTATAAAAACACAAAGTAAAAAAAAAATCTTACATTTTGTATCTATGTCAAGTTAATTTCATGCATATTAAGTTGCCCATTGCAATTAAAAATGCATAAAATAAATTGCAAACATTTCTACTCAGTACATAAATGAAAACTGTTGGCCCACGTTTTCTAATAATAAACAAGTGCATGACATGAAAATAAATGATTTAAGTAAAAATAGACATCAGCGGTAACTCATTAAGTCTCGGTAATTTAAACAATTAAAAGTCAACGGTCGTAGAATGTTTATAAAATTAAGATAACAAAAACAGCAATAATTACTTGAATACTACAAGTATAAAAAAAATTACGAATTCAAAATGCTTAAGATAAGATTATAATCGAGAATAACCGTTGTCCATTATTTAAAAGACAGCCTTATACTTTTCTTACTGATAAGTCAAAATTATTTTTTTTTTATAGTGCTTGATGTATTATAATTAATTGGACCAAGACGGCTCAACATAAAACAGGCGGTCCTAATTGTTCAGAAATTAAAATTTTCATAATCCTCCCAAGTTTAAAGACAATAATTTGCGATGCATTTTTTATTCTTGATTTTTTGGTCGCAGTTTTAAACATATCTGTAATTTTTTACACGTTCAATTACAATAGTCCAAAACAACATTTTTAAATGACACCTTAGAGTTTTTAGTTGGAGTTTCAAATTTGTATTCTATTTTTTCCAACGCCATTAGTATTTTTGTACCAAAGTTTTCAAGGTTAAACAAAAAGTTCAGTCAGATCGTTCTTCTAACCCAAAATATTTTTAGCGCCACATAAAAGGCCTAAAAGCAGATTATGGTAAATCCCTTACAAGTATCTAACCTTTTTAAAGACTTTTTTAGCTCAGTTTATTCTTCGGAAAGTTTTAGTATAAGTGACAGTCCAATTATACTAAAAAACTGCTCAAATAGTAGTTACGAACCGCTTCTTTAATTGACAACTAGAGAAGTCATTTGTCCTTTAGACCTAAATCCGTATCCTGGGCCAAATGGAATCCCTAATATTTTATTAAATTTTTAAAAATGCTACTTGCCTATTTCAATACAGAACATTTTTAATCGTTCGTTTTCTTGGGTGTTTTACCGAGTCAATTAAAATCTATTTTTGTCTTGCCTATTTACAAATCTGGTATATAAAAATGTTATTCCTAGTTCTAGACCTAATTTATTTACTCCGCCAAACTATTAGAAAAATTAATAATGCCTGCTTTAACAATGTCTTTTAATAACATGTTAAATACTGACCAGTATGGATTTAGAGAAGGTCGATCATTGGAAACAAATCAAATTTGTTTCTATAATACATTAATTAATTTTTACTATTGGTTTGCTATATTACTTTCATTTTTATTATTATTCAGTATACTTCATGTATACATTAAAGTATTATCATTGATTATAAATATTAATATTTATATTTATAATCAATGGTATTATGTACTCCACTTAAGCCTATATGGACGTTTACATAAATAAATAAATTCGCTGTAATTTAGATAATTGAAGAACTGTGCTTACATTAACTTGTATCGCTGCATGTATTATAAGTCAATATTTACATATTATTATTATTACTACTACCCACATTTGAATAATTATTTTAATGTTGACCTTTTAATTGACGTTTGAAATTATTTATTTAATTTAACGAAAAATACCGTCACTTGTTCGTAGTAATATAAACCACTGTAATTAAAATATGTTATATAATATCGCTTGTTTGCTACAATAACGACATAACACAAAAAACATGATTTTACACAAAACGAATCTGAAAATTTTATTTACAATGAAATTATGATAAAATCATGTTTAATATTTATAATGCTTTAAAACTTTTTTTATTAGAAGTAAAGTGTTATAACACACTATATTCTTGCTTTCTATTCTTACCTACAACAATATTATTATTATAAAATTAGGAGTTAGTTTAAAATTAAATGATAACTTGATGACGTCATGATAACTTATGACGTCACAACTGCCACCTAGCGGCTAATTTTGAATGTTCACTTATGTCGTTCTTGCAGTATAAAGAAAAACACCAAAATTATTATTATTTGCAAACAACTCAAAAATGACGATTTTTGTGTTATGTCGTTGTTGTAGCAAACAAGCGATATGCATTCGCACTTTTCACTGTTGTTGAAGCAAAATGTATTTAACGAGCGTTTCGCGTTATATTTAGGTATTCATGCAAAATGCAATCCTAAGTCCCTACTGATATTATTAATTTAGCGACACCCTGTCGTGGCTGATACCTATTTACTCAATACGCCGACACGTGTACAATGCGTTGCGGTTAAAAACACGTCCACCGTAAAACCCAAATGAAATTTGATTTTTCTAGTAAAGCTTTTAATCGTCGAAAAAATGATTTTACACGTACAACAAAAGAATTGTCCGGCCAAGTGAGCGGCAAAGATTTTTTTTATAATCAAACAAGGCGCGTGCACGTGATTTGACGCCCGAGGCATTAAAATGTTATATCAGTGATAGGCCCTGCAAACGACTGCCTAAATACATTATTTTGTTGTATAATAACATCATGCGTAAAATGGCCGTGACGCGGTTTTATTGTGTTTAATCAATGTCGCTTCCGGGTTTTTTTTTTTTTTAAATATTACATTAACAGGGGTTTATTATATCGAAAAGCAGTCTAACCCCAGTTAGTCGAAACAAGTCAAATGCGAACGAAACGCAAACTTGGGATAGAGCCACGTGAACGGATGTCATTGTGGTGCTGACAGCTTTTAACAGATATAAGCACGTGCACCACCGCCACCTCTGCTGTTCGACCGTATGAAGGCCCTTCAGGCGGTAATATTACTATAACAACTAATAATGGTGCGCGACGTTAATATAATGATGATTTTTGTTGAATTACCTACAGTGGCTTATATTAAAAAGAGAGGCAGAACTTTTTTGTTTAGTATACAAATTGTCCGCGTTAGTTTAGATTAAAATCAAAAAACAAATATGCCAAGATTTTAATAATTTTCATAATTCAGGAGTGTAATAATTCCGGGTCGCATGGACGTTTATTAAAGGCTTATAAAATTAACAATAGGGTGAGAAAGAATGGATCGTCTTAGAACGAGTTACTATCAAGGAACGAATGATTGGCAATTGTACCCTGCAAATAACTTTCCATTGGTACTATACTACCCCCCTCTCCCCCAACTATTTGAAGCTAATTGCGCTACTGTTCAAACACTATCTAATGAAATATGACCAGTGCCTTTAATTTTAATAAATTATTAAACTCATCAAATTTGTATATTGCAATCCCGTTATAGAGTACCATATTCTTAAAAGTTTACTAAACTAATCATGACTAAGAAATCCTTTTTTTTCACAATTCTCTCTTCGCCACTAATTACTATGAACTTATTCTGGTCTACTTATTCGGGTTGGCTCTAGGTTTAAATCCCACTATCACAATACTTCCATACCTATTTAACTATTTCATTTCTTTCCCTATTTTTAACGCACTCAAACTATTTCGATAAATTGCCTTCTCTGAATTTGGTGCAATACATTTGTTACGAGTATAATACATTCATTCGAAAATCTATCTTAGCAATACTCCCAATAATGATTTCATATTATCAACACCAAATTTGTTTTTATCTCTTTTACTTAATGTCCGTCAATCACGTATATACACCATTACTGGCTTCACTACAGTTATAATTTCATAAAATAAAAGGTACCGTCATTCATCATTAAATGGACCACCAACATTTTAGTCTACGTCATAATGTTATTGTAGCTCTAAACTTTATACATGTTAAGAAATGCTATACGATACAAAATATCTATTTCTTATTTGTTCTTTGGTCAAATACCTCGCTGATCGTTTCACTTATGTTTAATTTTTTAACATTCCAAACGAAAATTATTAACATTTACATTTTAAACAATTGTTGTCTCATGTTATAGTAAATAATTAAGACTGCTTAATAGGATAATTCAAGATATCGAAAGATACTACATATATATTATGATTTACTACAGTGTGAAGCTAATTTCTCTATAGTTTTAACTTATATACTATATATATAGTGTACACTGTACATAATGCGTGAGTTCACCAACAAAATCAAACTATGCCAAAGAATACTTCGTTCACATTTGATTTATGGTTACAGTGGTCATACAGTTGTTATTAGTATTTTTTTGTTTTATTTGTTATAAATCGTGATGAGGTTATCAAGAAAAAGATATAAACGTGTGGATCACATTGAGAGACATATAGGGATGGGTCAAAAAGAGACCAGTAGGGGTTTAGATGACCGACCCCGCTTTTGTAGGATAAGACAGGTGAACTGTTTCAAATTTTATTCCTCGCTAAAACGAATAAAATAAAAGATGTATTGAACAAATATATACACAAAGATATATTGACAAAAAGGAAGACAATAAAAATGACAGATTCTATTTCAGATTTTCGGTTCAAGTGTCATGGTTCAAGTTGTTTTAATGAACTTGTTACAATTTGATCACAATTAATAATCTATTAGTTGTCAGTTTTAAAATTTAAACTGAGGTAACTTAATAATTTTAAATGAATAGTAAAAAATAATTTTGTTAAAAGTTTTTCTCTAACGATGATTATAACGTATGTATTACTTATTACAGGCATTATTTCCTATACCTAAGCTAAAAATCAGAACTATGCCAACAACCGTATAGCAACTATATTTTTAAAAGTTGTTAAATCCTAAACAATTTATTTACATGTATAATATTTATATAAATTAAGTTGGAAAAAAACTTACATTGTTCATTTGAAGTCCTGGTAGTTCTCAATTGTGGATCAAAATGAACGCACGAAACAGATCCCAAACTTCCTCTAGGAGTCCTGCCCAACGACGCCGATTCCGCCATTGCTATACTTCCTCTGGCTGATCGATTCATGTTGTACGCGCCTTCAGAGGCCACACTGCCCCTGGGACTTTTACCGGGATCTGGTATCAGACTACCACGTGGACTACGGCTAGCGTCGGGAGTCACTGCTAAGCTACCTCTAGGGCTACGGTTCAAGTCGTACGCTACGCTGCCTCTTGGTGATCGGTTGAAGTCGGGTACCAAACTGTTTTTGGGACTTCTCGACGGATCTAACCCAGCAGTACTTGATCTTGGACTACGGTTGAAACTCTCGACGTCTAAACGGAGCCCGGACCTCAGATCAGAGTATTCATCATCCGGTACCATACTACCGCGAGGACTTCTCGGGCTCCTGGGATCCGGATGTTCGGACGTGAGACTATGCCTAGGACTCCGGTTAATATCGACCTCCAGTCTGGACGGACTAGGACGAATATAACACTCTTGTTGTTCATCCGGCATCAACCGCGGTGGTTTCCGATGATCGGATGGTATTAGACTACTCCGTGGACTCCTCGATATCTCTGGCACGAGACTGTTCCTTGGGCTCTTATCGATGTACTGTACTTTGGTCTCAGATACAAAACTAGGTCTGGGACTACGTTTGTGTGACGTGTATTCGTAGAATTCCTCGTCCGGCGATATCCTAGATCGTTGATGCATCTCGAATCCATCAGATGGCGATGTAGCCGCAATACTAGCCCTCCTGTGCTGACCACTATATTGCGGGGTCTGTTGGGGTTGCTGTGGCAGTTGTTGTCTTCCAATATCCTGTTGGCGCATTGACTGACCGTCCAAATTAAATGCAACACTTGTTCGACGAGCGTCATTGTTATGCACACGTTTCTTTCTCGATGACGGTGACCTCTGTAGCATCTTTGTATTTAGGTTACCGGCAGTCGAACGCGAAGCAGTTGTACCTATAAAAATGTCAAACAAATTTATTAAATTCAAACATTTATATAGAATTTATCAGTAAAATAGTGTTAGATTAGTAAGTTGTACATTTTTACAATATAAAATCGAAAAAGGATAAAACAAGCGACTAAAAAAAAAACACTTGGAATGTAACTATAGTCCAGCTCACGAAAACTGAACGTTCAAGGCCGAGGGGCGGCGGCCAAATATTGTCGATGCCAGTGGTTCTCCGTATTGTATGTATTATTGTTGTTGTCAGCTGTTGGATAGAGTCAGCTGTTATGTTAAAATATACATACTAAACATATTTTTATTAATTGTTTTTAATTGCTATATTTTTAACACGTAACGTAGTGCGCGAGACAAAATAATAAAATATGTACATTTAAACATTTCAAAAAGCCCGCCAATTATTTTGATACCCACTAATGGGAATTTGCCACTGGTAGCGCTGATGTCAACGCTCAGTTTTCGTGAGCCGGACTATAGAAAAGTTTGCTTTATACAAATTAAAACAATTTATTGAATTAAGCACATGAATAAAATATTTTGGTAACTTCTTTGTGCCTAAATACAACCAAGTATAATAAAATCAATGTATTTAGGCCTTTCTTATAATATTTGAATAACGTTTTCAAACGCAATTTTGCTCGAGATGCAAGCTTAATATTTTATATGCAGACTTATATTCTAACACAAGCTGTTTTTCCGGAATAAATGTGATTACTATTTGAAAATAAAAATGTTTCGAGATAACTGCCAAGTATCACTCTTTACTCACACACTTACTACACTTATTACACTCTTTACTTATATTTGTATTAAAAGTGTTGTAAATCAAGTACACTATATTCAAATCAAATTTGAAATGATATTGTAATTTATAACGATCAACATGTCAGTTTCTATCTAGAATACATGTATTAGCTCTGCGGTCTAAATCAGAAACTACATAAGCAAATATTTCCGCAGGCTTTATTTTATTATTGTTATTACAGTATTTACCCATTACCATTTCATTTATTTGTATGCAATATTGACTTAATTTGTTGATTATATACCATAAGAATATGTTTTTTAATTATAAAAAAAATTTTAGTGTCTTATTGCTAGACACAGGATTTCTTTAATGAAATTGACTTGATAAAAGTGATAATACCCAAAACATCTACCAATTGTTTCTTCTATAATTTTTTTAATTAATCAATGCACTCGTTTACCGTTAGATTTTAATAAAACTAATTTATAATGACAAAAAAAACATTTTCTAGTGAACAACTTACACACGCTACGTTTTTTTAGAAAAATGCATGTTTTCCATTCATTGTTCTACTTCTGTCGACAACTTTTTAGCATGCTATTTATTACCTGTTTTATCTAGGTCAAAAGTCATTACTGATTTTGTTACAAGAGAAAAATGTAAAAGCCGTTCAGTTACCGCTAACGTTATATGCTAATTACTTCTTAAAAGTTCAACAAAATACAGCTTAAATACGTGTAACTTTAAAACAATACTCAAAACAAAATACAACATAAAACCAATATTTTTTGCTGATTCAGATCAAAGCTTTAAATTAAATATTCTTCTATTTTTGCATCAAAGCTATAAAATTAATAATTATACCTACATTTACTTTCGAATCATATCTAAAACGATGACTGGTATTGTAAAAAAATTTTTGGCTTTGATACAGAGTTGAAGGATTTTGTCATTCATATGAAAAACGACGTTTTTATAATAATGTTTGTTAAAAAAAATTGTTCGTGTGAGCCCACAATTAACTTTTTAATTACCGGGCTCATTCCACATCAAGGTTCGGCTAAAATGTTTAGACTTCGGGTTAATAAATTAAACTAATGGTCATTTATCTAGTGTACGCCTATACAAAAAATAATTTCCTAGTCACCTAGATAAATCAACTACTGGATAACTACAATTTTTAAATGCATATTTAATTGAAATTGAAATTAAGTAATGCTATAAAAATATTGCGGATAGGTAAATATGTGCACAACCAAAGTTATAAAAATAAAGTAATTCAAATTTTTTATTTAATAAAAATTCTTTAAATTATATCAGTAATGTACGTGACATACGTATCTATATGACTAGTTGTCTAGTTTGCCTTTAACACTATTAAAAATATATTACCATATTAAAAGACCAAATGAACCTTATAATGTGATTTACCAACAGACATAAATATTATATCTTTTAGTATTTATAATATTATAGTTCGTGTTCATGATCATTTTCCTTTTATAGTCTACTTTTTATCAGGAACCGTTATCAGCTGTCTCCAATCGCAATCATGACTAAATAAACAGATATAATTGCTAGATTACGAACTATTCTATCTTTGCAATATGGAAGATGTTTCAATTTATATAGATCAATTAACACGGTAAAAATTTCTTTTTCCAAGTCTGAGGCAATTATCCTGCACAGCGTTATTTAGAAACCATGCCTTTAGATTTAGTCATGATCACAAGTATCTTATCACTAATCTTTTATCAGCTGTCTCTCATCAGCATCAGTAATCAGCTGTTTCTTATCAATGTCGAGAAAACGATATCGCAAATTTGATGTAGTATATGTTTGACAGACCCCCAGCCATTAGACGTATCCATGCCAATAATATAGAATTTAAAATATGACAAGTTTAACCATGTTATGTTGGGGAAAAATGTATTTGAAACAAATAGTTTCATTGTTACCTTATGTTATCCATGGAGATAGAGGATAAAAGGTGATAAGTCGTAATAATTGTAAATCGTTTGAAAAAAGAATTGAGTACAACAAGATTTATCTTGGTATCGAGCAAAAATTAGATGTTCAATGTTAGGAATCAGTAAATAATATAATCCCGATTAAGTCTAATCGTACATTTTATGGGATTAGAATATTGCAGCATTGAATATTTTTTCGTTTAGACAAAGAGTTTAAAAGCTTTCGAAGCAACACCATTAGACTCAATTGGGTTTATACTGTACGCTAATTCTATTAAAATTACCGAGTATTACTTTTTCTTGCATAATATAATATATTTTACGAATAAGATGTTAAAATGGGCACTATAGCTTCGCCTTAAAGTGCCAACTCTGTCAAAGTGTTATACTACTCAACGGTCATACCATTGATTATAAATATTTATACTAATAAGGTCATACTAATAAAAATGCAAAATCTGAATGCGATTATCATGTTGAAATATAAATTATTTCATGTATATGATATCTCCATTACTATTTTCTAAATATTTGATAAACGAGTATTTACGATTTATGAATAACTAATAAATGTTCACAAAACGTAGCTCTACTGCTAATATTATATTCAATACGCAGTATGTGTCTGGGAATTCCATTATTTTGTTTTGCTGTGTAATTTATTCATATATATTTATCACATCATTGGGTTAAGTAAAGTAATAAGAATCCAAAGAAAAATGTTCACGCCCACTGAACAAAAAAAATTTAACAAAACTTAAAGCATTCACACCATTATTTCAGACCATATAATATATTATAGGTATGTTTTTCGGGTTTTACGTATGGTGATTTACGCACAGATACTTACACTGCGTTATGTATGATCTATATATTTTTTATTTTACCTCCTGAAAAATTTACACATCAAAGAGCAAGTTTGCTTCGTGGCAATATAGTAGTGTCGGTGCTGCCGGAAGGATGTGTGTTGTGTGTTAGTATAGCAATATGCACCCCTATTCATGTGATATGTCCCTAGAATCGACATTAAATATCCTTCCGCACATGCACGCAAATAATACCTTCTTCCGTATGTATCTATTTATATCCTTTTTCTCTCTCTTTTTCCGCTTCAGAAACATGTAAGTTCGTCGTTACCGTATGTATGTTATTCGCTATCGTTGACTGTATCTAAATTCAACACACAGGGTGTCACCTTGTACCGTCGGGTGAAGCTGATAATGGCAATGCCCATTAGAAAATCAAGTCGAATCGTTAATTAATACTATAGCGCCGATTCTAACGTGTTACTGCTGTGGCATTTGCTAAATTCTAAACCCTCTTCCCTTCTCTTCGACCTGTCGTCAGTGCTACGCCGTTTGCCTCACATTGATTTCCTGTCATACCGTCATAGCTTCTGTTTTATGATATGCATTCAGTGTGAAATGTGTATGTTTGTGTTGATAACGTGGCATAAAACGTAAAAGTATACATATCATCGTTTTAATTACTATTTCCTCCGGTCAATGCCACCAACCATTAAATTCGGCATTATTAAATTGTCTTTGCTGACTTAAATTTGCCTTGACTACTACTATAATCTTGTATTTTATAAGCAATAAGTCTTTAAGAAAAAGTTGATGAATTGAATCTAATTCAATATGTTGAATAGGATTTGAAATTGTTACTATGATTGCGTTATTAGCTAAATATAAATTACTCCGACTAATGAGAGACTCGCGGCTCACTCACTCGCCTATACCTAAAATCAAAAAGTTTATCTATTAAAGTTTTGATTTTAACTGTTTCGAACGCTTGCAAGTTCTTAGAAATGACAACAATTATGACCGCCTAATTGGACTGTATTTAAAAGATAAGCCCAGAAAACTAGTAAAATGGTTGATGTAAACTTTTTTTGGAGAAGACCATGTTGTTTATCCATTATAAGCCAGTTACACGTCGAGACTCGAGGACAGAATAGGTTTTATAAGTTAACAGATATAAATTTTTCAATACGTGCTTGATGTATCGATCAAAGTAAATGTTTAATTTGCGTTTTTATTGTTATTGTATTGTAAAAATCATTATATATTGCAATTAAAAATTAACAAAAAACAAAATGTTTAATTATACCACAATCGATAAATTTTATGAAGAATCTATATATTTTTTTTTTTTAATTTAAATCGGATTATTTTTAAGAACGTAATTATTATCAAAGTAGAAACATATGTTTTTGAACAAAAATAAAGCCCGTTTGTTTTATAGAAGTTGTAAAAAAAAAATGTAATAT